GTCCCCTGGTTTAGAACCAAGGACCCTTTGTGATGCTATGTGCAACTTCCCTCCCACCCTCCCTCCTCAGCAGTATCCATCAACTGCTGACCCCTTCCTTTTGCTAATGTGATTAATGTTCAGGTCCCACTTATGAGTGAGAACATTCAGTATTCAGTCTTTTGTTTCTGGGAAAGATCACTAAGTATGATGGTCTCCAACTTCATCCAATGTACTGCGAATCCCGTGATTTTGTTCTTCTTTATGGCTGCATAATACTCCATCATGTATATGTACCACATTTTCTTTGTCCAGTAGTATAAACTAGTTTTAGAGAGAATGCATTCTTATTTCAGTAATCAATGTTATTATTTCAATAGTAGTCAATATTTAATAGAAATAACCTCCACTTAGTTCTTCAGGTTGTAAAATTCCTTTGGAAAAGAGGAAGACACTAAGTTGACTATTGGCGCTAACTTGTTTGCCTTACATTCTGTCCCCACCTCCCACCTCTCTAGCTGTGAAACCCTGGAACTGCTGCTCCATCAGCACAAACTTCTCTTCTCCAAGAAGCCCCTTCGCTTGCCTTATTTTAACTGGTGCCCTCTAGCAGCCCAGTGGAGTGGTGGATGTGATTCTTTTACACCTCATAGACTTGACTTTTTAAAATTTTTTTTATAGGTTTACCCCCTGAAAGCAAAATGAGGTAAGAAAAAGGAAATAGACTTGACTTTCTAGGGGCAAGACTGGAATCGTTTGACCCCTCATTACATCTCTCAGATGTGGCCTCTATAACCTGTTGATTTTCTTTGTCAATGTCATTTATCATTTGACTACTTTCCTTTGTTCAACAGAAGCTTTGCACCTGACTTACAGTCTTCTCTTGGCTCCAAATCCTGCCACCATTGTGGGTAGCTCCTTTCTTTTTTTTTTTTTTTTTTTTTTTGCGTTCAGAACTACCTCTTTATTAAACAAAGACATAACTCAAAAGTTTCCAACTTCCTATACATGTTAAAAGCTCTAAACAAAGATCCTTAGATACAAAATATGGTCCAAGTGGCTCCAAATCAATTCTATGACAAAGTATTATTTTAAAGTCATACTTATTTTAAAAGCCTGAAGTTCTTTTATGGCTATAAAAATACCAAGTTAGAATTTTTATTTTGCTAAGACACATGAACAGAATCAATGTAACAGTCCACACATTCTGTGATTTCTCAACATTAGACATCAGGAGCTTCCAGGGGATGCTGTTGCCGTTCACAGTTCAGAGAGAGTTCAGAGGCCTCCGTGAAAGCCCAACTTTTCTTCCTTTCTGCCCACAAGATTAATTTGCCTTTTCAGAAGTCTTGTCGGATGTTTTCCTTGTTTGCCTCTCCATGTTGCTGCTTAATTTGATAGATTTCATTTTCTAGTTGCACAATAGTCCGTTCAATCTCATAGTTCTTACTGACCAGGGACACCCAATTTGACTCCATTTCTCTCAATTTAGATCCAGCCGTGAGTTGCATGTTCTTTCGCTGCCAGTTTAAATCTTGAATATGTTTTCTTAACTTCTGAAGTTCTTTCTGTGCGTGTTCAATCATATGCACTAGATTTTCATTATATACTTTCCAGGCATTACATCCATGCTGTGACATTAGTTCTAGATTCTCAATCCGAACTGCTTGATGTTCTAACTGGGCCATAGAATTGTTTACACATTCTTGCCATGCAGTAATGTCATTTTTCTGACCCGAGGAAGGGGCTGGAAGCTCATATCGTTTCATACTGAGCAGTTCAATCGGTTGTCGAGCAGCCAGTCTTTCAAATTCATTTCTCATTATGTCAGTTTCAAAAGCAGAATAGTCCGGGGCCGTCAGGTAGCTCAGGTAGTTCTTAGTAGGTCGGTACCTGCGGGTTTCCTCCTCTACCAGCGCCGCGGCCGCTTCCCGCACACCAGGGGCTTCATATCCTTGATCAAAATAAGGCAGCGCATCCACCACCACCTCTCCGGCCACCAATCCCGTGCCCGCCATGCTGAGGCCCATAGGCCCGCCGGCCTCTTTTTTTTTCTTTTTTTAAGTTGGTGTCTCACTCAGTTGCCCAGGTTGGAGTGCAGTGGCATGCTCATGGCCACCCCAGTGTCTACCTGCTGGGCTCAGGAGATCCTTCCACCTCCGTCTTTCAAGTAGCTGGAACTACAGATGCACACTACCATTCCCAGCCAATTTTTTTTTTTATTTATTGTAAAGATGAGGTCTTGCCAAGTTGCCCGGGTTGGTCTCGAAGTTGTGAGCTCAGGCAATCCACTTGCCTTGGCCTCCCAAAGTGCTGGAATTACAGGCTGAGTCACCGAGCCCAGGCTGTGGGTGGTTTCAATATCCCCAGTGTCCTTTCAACACTGTGGCCTCTCATTTTCTTACCCAACTCACCTATTATGGGCTTTTATACTCTTAGCTACCTCTTCCCACAGTCACACTCTGGATCTTTTAGCCAACAACAGCAACGAAATGATTGATATTCCAAATCAACAGCTCAGACACTAAGCACAGTAACCACCATCTCTCACGTTTCTGGCTTGCAACTTTAACTACTTCCACCCCAACAGTCCTTCAGTAAGAGTCCAGTCCCCATTTCTGTATCTTTTCCCTATATTAAATTTCCTTCCTATTCAGTTTATATTCTATGTTCTATAATTTTAAGAATAATTTTGACAGTGACATAAATTGTCTTGTCTTTTTGTCTTATCTTCCATCTAGCAAAAGTGAATCCAGTGTGACCCCAGCTCTTTAGTTGTTCCATATCTTTATATGAACAACAGAACAATTTTGTAGAAAAATCACAAGACGAGGCTTATCAGTTCCTCGAGAAGTTTACAGTCACCTTCAGCTGGGCTGCAGTCTGGCCCTGAAATCCTAGTGTATTTCCCAAGGCAAGTTGCTTTCTTACTTTCTTAACTACTTTACATTTTCTCTAGTCAACTTTATGTCTTAGATTGTTTTGCCATTCTCCCTTTCATCCCTCGTAAAGTCAGAGCAAGCAACTTCCCACCACCTCCCTCTCACCCCTCTCTCCCATTCTTGTCCTGTGTATCTCAGGAGAGTCCTTTCTCTTGTATTTACCAGTTTTCCATCAAACCTCCCTAGCCTTTTAAGAACTTTAGAGAATGGATTTTCCATCCTCCCCATTATATCTTCAACTTTTTTGCTCTTTTTTTTTCTTTATTTTATTTTAAAGATGTGGGGTACAAGTCATATTTAGGTATGTAAGTGGTCTACAAATGGTAAAGGTAGGGCCTTCCACTGGTCCTCACTTCCCCTGGTTTAGGATCAGGTACCTGTAGTGATGTTATGTGCCCCTCCTTCCTCTCCTTGAATGTGTCATGCACCTGCTGATCCCTCTCTTGTAATATTGTGATAAATGTTCAGGACCCAACTTTTTGCTCTTTTCTTTTTTGAGTTGGAGTCTCACTCTGTTGCCCAGGCTGGAGTGCAGTGGCTCAGACACACTCATGGTCATCCCCGCGTTGAACTGCTGGGCCCTGGCGATCCTTCCGCCTCAGCCTTCCATGTAGCTGGAACTACAGGTGCGTGCTACCACACCCGGCTAATTTTGATTTATGTAGAGATGAAGTCTTGCCAAGTTGCCCAGGCTGGTCTCAAACCACCGGCTCAGGCAATCCACTCATCTCGGCCTCCCAAAGTGCTGGGATTATAGACTGAGCCACTGTCCCTTTTTGCTCTTAGTGATATTTTCTCATCAACATTTCAATTTGACCTTTCAGAAAGGCTAACGTGAAAACAAATATTCTTCTGAACTACATGGCGCATTTTAACATTAATATTTTCAGCATCACCAACAGTCTTTCTATGGGTAAAATCTATAAACCATTTTGAGGTCATCAGTGCCACTTTTCTTGGACACTTGAACCTAATTGCATTCTAAAATATTTTCAACGTTAACTGACACCTTCCTGCCAGCAGGGGGCTCTGTGTCAAAAAAAGAAAATAAAACAAAAATACAAACTGAGAGTACAAACTGAGAGTACAATCTAAGATTTGGACGCAGGTACTGATCACACTACTTATTCCTTTGATACCATATTAGCTACCACAGGACAGTTGTTTACTATCCAGAGAAGAGAATATCCATGAGGGAGTTAATAGGTAAAAAATTAAAATAAAATAATTATTTCAAGGAGACTGCAAATGAACTTCAGATCTGTAATGAAAAGCATATCTTTTTTTTAGTTAATATGGTCAAAAAGATAAGAAGGGAAAAATGGTAAGTACATTAAAAAGAACTAAAGGCATATGTTTATTGTGTTTCACTTTACTGAGCTGCACAGATATTGTGAATTTGATAAATTGAATGTTTGTGGCAACCCTGCTTCCAGCAAACCTATCAGCGCCATTTTCCAACAACACATGCTCACTTCGAGTCTCTGTGTCACATTTTGGTAATTCTTGCAATATTTCAAACCTTTTCATTATTTTATACCTGTGATGGTGGTTTGTGATCAGTGATATCTAATGTTACTATTGTAATTGTTTTGGGTTCAACAAACTGTGCCCATAAAAGATGGTGAACTTAATCAATAAATGTGTGTGTTCTAATTGCTTCACCAACTGGAAGTTCTGCATTCTCTCTCTTCTTGGGCCTCCCTGTTCCCTGAGATAGAACAATACTGAAACTAGGCTTGCTGATAACAGTGCAATCACCTCTAAATGTTCAAGTCAAAGGAAGAATCACATGTCTCTTATTTTACATAAAAGCTAGAAATAATTAAACTTAGTGAGGAAGGCATGTTGAAAGGTGAGAAAGGTTGAAAGCTAGGCATCTTGTGCCAAATAGCCAAGTTGTGAATGTAAAGGAAAAGTTATTAAAGAAAATGAAAAATGTTACTCTATTGAATGCATGAATGATAAGAAAATAAAACAGGCCGGGCGTAGTGGCTCATGCCTATAATCCCAGCACTTTGGGAGGCTGAGGTGAGAGGATTGCCTGAGTCTGCGGGTTCAAGACCAGCCTGGGCAACTTGGTGAGACCTCATCTCTACAATAAGTCAAAAAATTAGCTGGCCATGATGGCGTGTGCCTGTAGTTCCAGCTACTTGGAAGGCTGAAGCAGATGGATTGCTTGAGCACAGCAGGTAGAAGCTGTGGTGGCCGCGAGGATGCCACTGCTCCCCAGCCTGGGTGATAGAGTGAGACTCCAACTCAAAAACAAAACAAAACAAAACAGCATTATTGCTGATATGAAGAAAGTTTTAGTCGTCTGGATAGAAGATTAAATCAGGCACAACATTGCCTTAAGTCAAAACCTAATCCAGAGCAAGATGAACTCTTTTCAGTTCTATGAAGGCTGAGGGAGGTAAGAAGCTGCAGAAGAAAAGTTGGAAGCTGTCACCGCAGCCTCGACCTGCTGGGCTCCAGCGATCCTCCTGCCTCAGCCTTCCAAGTAACTGGAACTACAGGCCTGCGCTACCTCGCCTGGCTAATTTTTTGATTTATTGTAGAGATGAGGTCTCGCCAAGTTGCCTAGGCGGGTCTCGAACCCGCAGGTTCAGGCAATTCACTCACCTCAGCCTCCCAAAGGCGCGGGATTACAGGCTGAGCCACTGAGCCCAGCTACTAAAAATTTAATGACCAATATTGTGAAGGTCCTTCCAACCCTGTTGCTTTTAAGTTTTGACAACCAACCATCCACTGGTATTTATATCTGAAAATTCAGATTCCATTAGTACAAGCCAGTAGTGTACATGAGGAAATGTGAGGAAATATATTATTTGTGAGACTGTGACTGGAGTTTTAAAAAATTGTTTATTAATCTTTTAGTATCTTGACTCCATGCAAGCAGGATAGCTTACACATGGATGCACAAATGTAAGGTTTATGTTCTGGCTTAATAATAGCATTATTTAAAAACAGATATTCTAAAACATATTTTAGAGATTTATTAGAGCAGCTGGATCTGGCTAATATGAAATAAGTACTAAGTCACATTCAAATCAAAGTATTTTACAGTGGAATTATCTTGCATATATTCTTTTTTAAAAACATGAACCATATGCTTTTCTATTAGAAATCTGATTTTTCTGTGGTGTATACATGACAAATAGATTCTTGCAGGAAAAAAAAGCTGATAAAATTAAAAAAAAAAAAAAAAAAGAAAAGTTGGAAGCTACAGGATAGTCATATTTAACTGTGATCCAAAGCACATGTGATGCTGCATTCTCAAAACACTTTTAGTTTTTATCAGTAGTCCTAAAATTTTAAATTATTTTTGATGAAATAAATAAATCCCATATTTAATATACTTCTGATTAAAGCTGACAAATACATCTTTAAGACCACACGTGTGCATAATTAACACCCAAGCGCACTCCACATGGAGCTTGAATAATCTATATCTTGATCAATGAGGTTAATCCAACAATCATATACTTAGAATGGAGAGATAATGTCAAATGTCTATAAAAGTGGTTAAATACTCAAGTTTATCTTTAGTTCATTGTAGAATGGCAATATAGAGTTCATAAAGTGGCACTAGTATGGAGCCATACCTTTTACAAGAGCATTGCTTTAGTCCAAAATTTTGCTATATTATTTGTAGGAGACAGTGGAGATTACAAGCAGCCTAACCCCTTAGCTATACTTGGACAAATATTTTCAGGGATTTCTGAGGTTTGAATCAACATGTTTGCTGACAAAGAGTTTATATTATTGGGTTTTGTTTGTTTTCTTGTTTTTTTCTTGTGCTTTTCCAAAAACTTGTATAAAATCATCAGTCTGTGACTTGTATATGATTGATTTGTACTTCACTTATGATTTGTACTTCACTTATTTGTACTTCACTTATTCTGAACTGAGATATGTCTTAACAACGTCTAAAATTAAGAACTACACAATGACATGTTTCCATTATTAGTTGTTTAAGGTTTTGGTAATACTTTTTGATGTCATTTGTACATTCAAGTTAAGTCAAACCTGCATATTGCATTCACTTATTTTTTTCACATACAGTACTCTATTAATTCCTATTTCCATGTTAACAAAATATATCAGTGACTTATTATTCTCATATTTGAAAAATTTAATAATCAAAATTGGGTTTATTTAAAAACCTAAGTCCTGTGGTACTTGAATACTGAATAGTAAGCTATTAAAGAATTAAAATGACTTAAAGTACACATAAAATTACTGTGCTAAAATGAAATTCTAAATTGTAGGTGATGATTCTCATTGTAAAACATCTTGAAAAAATATATTTGAGAGTGGATTTGTGTAGTGGGTTCAACAGTTGCCCCCAAAATAGATATGCCCACCTGGAACCTCTGAATGTGACTTTATTTGGAATAATAAGGTACATATCTTAGAAGAGGTCATCCTGAATTAGATTAGGCCTTCAGTACAATGCTGAGTCTCCTAGTAAGAGACAAAAAGAAGACAGAGACATACATGGAAAGGTCAACAGAAGATTGGAAAGGTGATGAATGATTGGAGTGATGCATCTACAAGGCAAGAAATACCAAGGATTGTCCACAGTCACGAGAAGGAGAAGAGAAGCATGTAATGCATTCTCTCTCTAAGCCTCCAAAAGGAAATATCTCTGCCAACACTTAAATTATGGACTTTTATTTTCTAGAACTGAGAAGAAATAAAAATATCTATTGTTTTAAGCCATCAAATTTGATACAATGGCCCTAAGAAACTAATAAATAATTTGCTATAGCAAAAAAAAAAAAAAGAAAAACAAAAGGTGGAAGCAAGCAGAGGGTTAGTCATGACGTGAACTCTATAACATAAAAGCACAAGGTACAAGGTGAAGCAGCATATGATGTTCTAGAAGCTGCAGTAAGTTACCCAGAAGATCTAGCTAAAATCATTGGTAAAGGTGGTTACACTCAACAACAGATTTTCATTGTAGATGAAACATTCTCATATTGGAAGAAGATGCCATTTAGGACTTTTTTCTAGCTAGAGAGGAGAAGTCAATGCCTGGCTTCAAATCTTCAAAAGGCAGGCCAACACTCATGTTAGGAGTGAACACAGCTGATGACTTTAAGTAAATGAAGCCAATGTTTATTTATCATTCTGAAAATCCTAGGACCCGTAAGAAGTATGCTAAACTCACTCTGTGCTCTGTAAATGGAAGAACAAAGCCTGAATAATAGTACATATCAGGTTTACTGGATATTTTAAATACATTATTGAGACACTGCTAAGGGAAAACGATGCTTTTTTTTTTAGTTGGAGTCTCATTCTGTCGCTTAAGCTGGAAGTGCAGTGGCACACTCATGGCCACTATAGCCTCAACCTACTGGGCTCAGAAGATCTTTCCACCTCAGCCTTCCAAGTACTTGGAATGACAGGCATGTGCCACCACATCTGGCTAATTTTTTGATTTATTGTAGAGATGAGGTCTCGCCAAATTGCCCAG